GCTTTTATACCCATCCATCCTCAACTCTGGGAGATAGGAGCTGCTAGCATTCCCATTTTACAGGTGAGAAAGTTGAGGCATTGGGATAAAAACTTACCCAAGGTGTCAATTCTAGACTCTAGGAAATGGGGGAACCAGGATTCAAAACCAAGCAGTCTGCTCTTCACCGCCCTACCAAAGAGAGGGAAGAGGGAACAGGTGTTGGGAGCAATAAGAGGGAGGGCCCCCCCCGCCAAGGAGGTGGTGTTATCGGTGTTGATAGTGGAGGGCAAAGTGCTGAGAAGAGAGGCTGGGGAGCGTTCAGGGTCCAGGCAAGGAGTCCCTCCAGGCATCGCCCGGGGAACTGGGAAGTTGTGGACAAGTTTTGAACAAAGGAGTGACATAGGTGTGTCTATTCTAGAAAGGGACCCCACCTTTAAAGTGGTGATCGGTGCGGGCAATGGACAAAAGTTAAATGTGATTTATTTCAATGTGTTATTAGTTTCCTAAGGCTACTGTAACAAGGTACCACAAAGCCAGGGTTAAGGTAACAGAAATGTGTTCTCTCTGTGTTCCGGACGTTAGAGGATTGAAAACAAGCTTCATCGGGGTCATGTTGTCTAAGACTCTGGTAGAGTCCCTTCTTGCCTCTACCTAGCTTCTGGGGGTGGCCATGGATCCTTGACATTTCTTGGTTTTTAGCCGCATCACTCCCATCTCTGCCTCTGTCTACAATGGTGTTTCCCCTGTGCAGCTCTCTCTTCTTAGAAGGACACCAGTCCTATTGGACTAAGAGACAACCCCACTCCCATATGACCTCATCTCAACTAATTATATCTGCAACAACTCTATTCCCAAATAAGGCCCCCTTCTGAAGTTCTGGGAGTCAGGACTTCAACATATCTTTTGGGGGGGGGGGACATAATTCTACCCATAACAGATGTCATTAAAGTGCTTGTCCTATAGATAAATCTCAAATCTGGAAGAAAAAAAAAAAGTCCTCTGTAGATCTCATGTCTCAGTTTGAGATTCAGGAGATCTGGCCTCAGCATATTTGTCCCCCACACTAATACTTTGCCCTAGTGAGTACTAAATAAATGTTTGAGAAATACTTGACTTGTGGTCCCCTAAGGCTCTCAGGTCTGTCCTTAACAAGTTAGAGAAATAGACTAAAAGTCCCCAGAGAACAAAGTCAAGCCGCCCTCTGTCCCAGATTCCTGGTAGGCAGCTGTTCCACTGACCTGGGCACCCCCTGCCCCCCTGCCTGGGCACCCGTGTGGGGAAATAGCCGGTCATGAGAAGGATGGAGAGGAGAGGCCTCAGCTCCCTCCCTCTCCGGATTAAGCAAACCTGCTGTGCTCAGTCCTCTCCCTTGCTTCCCTGTCCAGACAGGCTCAGACTATTCCATTCAGACAAATGTCCGTGCATTACCCTTGCTTCCCTGCCCTGGTTCAGGTCTTTCTCTTGACCACTGGGACTATTGCTCCAGTCTTCGAACCAATTTCTTTGCTGCCAGCGCCAATCGGGTCATCCTAAACATGAATCTGTTGATTTCTCTCGTTGTTTTAAAACCTTCAATGGCTCCCTCTCATTCTCAGAATAAAATCTGGATTCCTTAGCTTACCATTTCTAGCCTTGGACATGTTGGTCCCCAGGTAGCTACCCAGGATTGTTCTTCCCTATTTCCCTACATGTGCACTATCCTACGGGCAGGGAAGGTTCCAGAATTTCCATTCAAAAGAGACTGGGGGCGTGCATTCTGGTTAGCAGGAGACACGGTGGGGGCTTGCCTCGAAGTTGTCTTTTTGTAAGCAAGGACGCCTGAGCATGGCAGTGTTCTCCTGTCGTCTGCATCTACTCCTTGGCATATGCTGTCCCCTTGACACGGAATGATCTCCCCACATCCCAATTTTTCAACATGTGACTCAAAGGACACCTTCACTCTGATCACATAACCAAAAGAACCTCTCCCTGGTCCGCATACAGAGTATTTTGATTGAACTTCCTAGTGAGGTTTATTCTAATCCACCTCCTGCGGACAAAGGAAGCACCTCCCTTCCCTTCCGTTGAGGCGCTAGCCCCAGGCCTCGGACTGCAGGGCAGGAAGGGCACGTGAGAGAAGTGCCAGGATGGAGACCTGGCTGCTAATACACTTTGTCAGGGTCTTGCTGCATGATCGTGGGCAAGTCACTTTCCTTCTGTGGGCCTCAGATTCTTCTCTGTAGAGTGGGGTTGCAGGGGGAGACATCCAAGCAGGGTGAAAGCATGAGCTGAGTTTCTCCCTCCACCCCAGGTCTGGCCAGACCTTGGTACTATGAACAGGAGCTCTTGGGGGAGGGGGTCCTTTATTTTGTATTAATTTACATATATTTGCATATGTGCTATAAGAGGAACGGACTACATTTCATTCATAGAAAGAACTCATGTCATCTAATGGATGTCCAGGGATGGATAAAAGCCACTGGCTCACGGTCCCATCCAAATCTTAGCAGTCAGAGGTCTTTAGTAATTAGCCCTCCCTCCCCCTCCCTTTAGAGACGAGTAACGGAGGCTCAGAAAGGGAATGGGAGGAGGCCAATGTCACAGAGCAAGTGAAGAGCACCAGGCTTCCTCCAGGCTTCCCACCATCCGCCAGGGGATTGCACCACGCACCTGGTTTCTCTCTCCACGCAGGGTCCAGGGTGCGAGGGGAGGCTTGGTTTTCTCTGTAGGCCCTTCTCTACGCCCCAGAGTAACAAAGCCTGCTGGCTTCGCAGCCTCCGTAACCACCACAGGAAACCAAATTGTAGTAGAAAGTCATACGCGAGTGGAAAATCCTCTCAGAGATGTGAGATCGTTGCTTTCACCTGTTCTAAAAATAACCCAGTTTATTAGAGATTGATAGATGACAAGATAATGCAGGTTACTCCTCTGAGGCTAGGGAGAAGAGACAGTGCTATCTGCTGAACAAAAGGGGAGTTGGGAGGTGCTGCGGGCATTGGTGAGCTGGCTGGACCGAACTCAGGGTTCAGTGAAAGTTAGTCGGGGGGTGGGCAGGTGCTCCTCGGGCCTGTAGGAACTGTAGAAGCAAGACGGTGGGCGCTGCCTTCAAGGATCCTAGTCCAAGGAGTGGGGAGACAGATAACAAAGTAATTGCCAACTGGGAGAAGGGCTCCAAGGGAAACAAGTAGTGCTGGGATGAAGAGCAACAGGGGTGGTCAGGGAGGCTTCTGGAAGGAGGGGGCGCTTGAGCTGGGACTGGACAGTGAGAAGGATTGGAGGGGGGCATCTCCAGGAGAGAGGCCAGCAGGTACCAAAGCCTGGAGGTAGGAAGGAGCTTGGCAGTTCTGGAAGCTGGAAGGCCAGTGCTGGGCAGGGAGGAAGGGGGTGTGGACTGGCAGGAGGTGCGGGGGAGGGGGCAGGGCCAGGCCTATGCTGGCTTTGGGGGCTGTAGGCTTAGGGATTTGATTTCGGGTCAGTGGGAAGTTACCGAGGGAAGGTTTTCAGCAGTGGCATTAGGAGATGTGGTTTGTACTTGGGGTGCTGGGCTGGCTCAGTAGGTAGAGGATGTGACTCTTGATCTCGGGGTTGTGAATTTGAGCCCCACATTGGGCATAGAGATTATTTAAAAAAAGAAGAAGAAGAAGCCGCTTGCTCTTGCCTGTAGTGTGGGATAATGACGGGAGGGTCGAGCAGCAAGGACACCAGCCAGGCAGTGGAAAAGGCATCCTGCAGGAGTGTCAGGGGCCTGGACTAAGATGGGGAGAGAACTCAAAGTATGTTTTGGAAAGAAACTTCACAGGAGCTGCAGACAGACTGGATCAGGGGTAGGAAGAGGGGGGAGAGGAAGAAGGCACTAGAAGGGACAGGTTTCTGGCCTGAGCACCTGGTGAGTGGCAGTGTCATTTCCTGAGGTGGGGACACATGCAGGCAGGAGGAGCGGGTGTGGGAATCCGGTTTGGGGCAAAGGAGATTTGAGAAATTTGCAGATCACCAAGAGACTCTACTGGAAGGCAGCTCCAGAGGGTCTAGGAGTCTCTGGCCATCTGACAAAAGCAGGTCGTTAGTCCTTCCATTGTTCATGAAGTCTGATCAGTGAGCTCCAGGGGACCAGAGACCAGTTCTGCTTTGTTTTATAACCCCAGCCCCTAGGAAGGTGCCTGGCATGGAGTAGGTGCTCAACAAAAAGTTGGTGGATGCATGAAGAAGGCTCATGAACCTGGTGGGTGCTTCATAAATATTGAAGGAATTCTCTGACTCCTTTTCTCTCACCCCCATATCTCGTCAGTCAATGATTTCTACAGATTTGCCTTTCTCAGTGTTTCTCAAGCCAGTCCCCTACTCCATCCCTACCACCACTGCCCTAGTCCAGACCCCTGAGCATTAGCTATGTTTACTGCAAGCTGTGAGTACATGTGCCAGGCACTGTGCTAGGTCCTTTATGAGTAATATTGTCACTTCCCCTTTAAAACAACACCGAGGGGGGCACCTGGGTGGCTCAGTCGGTTAAGCGGCTGCCTTCGGCTCAGGTCATGATCCTGGGGTCTTGGAATCGAGCCCCACATCTGGCTCCCTGCTCAGCGGAGAGCCTGCTTCTCCCTCTCCATCTGCCTGCCACTCTGCCTACTTGTGCTCTCTCTCTCTCTCTCTGTCAAATAAATAAATAAAATCTTTAAAAAAATAAAATAAAACAACACTGAGGGGCAGGAAACCTTCCCTCCCTTTTACTACTCACAGCCTCCTGTGAAATCTCCCTGTCTTCTGGCCCCACCCTTCCAATCCCTCCCTTATACTTCAACCAGGGTGGCTGGCAAAACTCAAAATTGGATCTGTCCGTCCACGGCTTACAACCCTCTCATTGTCTACAGGCTTGTGATCCCACAGCTTAACGTGGCTGAGAGGACCCGAGTTCCAGCTCTGCCTCATGGGCCCCTGTGGCTCATCTGGGTCTTCCCTTGCATCCCCTGGAGTATCCAGCGCTGTTTCTCACCTCCATGCCTTTGCTCACGCCGGTGCCCTCTGCCAGGAGGGCCCTCCCTGTTGCGGGTTCATTCATATCCACCACGTAAGGCTCAGCTTTTCTTCCCAGTCTTCTTGGACTCCACCACTGGCTAGGTTGGAGGTCCCCTAGGCCACCCCCCTCCCCACTCTGTGTTGACTTCATCAGCACCTGTAGTAATAACAACTCTATTTCTTTTAATTAATGCATAGGATTATTTCCAACTCATTAGGTCAGGTGGTTCCTTAGTCAAGAAACCCCCACAGCATTTCCTGATCGTCCAGGACAAGAGCGGTGATCAGTGATTCTGCTCTTCCCTGGCTTAGCTTTGATCTGAAATGAGTCACATGGTCCAGAGACCATGTATATGTGAGTAGCGTGGGGCCCAGGGGTCTTGGTCCCTTACAAATCCTGGACTATCCTGAGGGGAAGACAGTCCCAGTAGTTTATTCTCACCCAAAGCATTCTGATCCTGGTCCTCCCTCTCTCTGGGGCTCAGGGGGGTTCTGGAGGGTTCTTGCTCCCACCCAGGCAGAGGGGGACTGGTGTCCAGCCGAGGATTCTCCGTCCGCTAGGCAGGGGTCTGTGCCCATGTGGCCAACGTGTGAGTGGCCCAGCCAGCCCCTCCGACAGTGTGGTCTGGACCGGCTGGCGTCCTTGCCACTGGCTCAGTGCCCCGGGGCGAGAGCTCACCGTGGCCACGTTTCCACGTCTCGCTGCCTGGTGGGACCACGTGGCTGCCACTCTCCTTGAGAAGCCCTGGCGCCTCGGGGTTCGGGACGTGCTCCAGTTTCATGCAAATGGCGGCTTTGGCCGGACCGCAGGTGCATGATCCCACACTGTCCCAGGAGAGACAGACACAGCCAGCCATGGAGAACTGGTGCCCAGCCAGGTGTCCGCTCAGCATCGGCTTCCTTCAGGCTTGGCTACCGCCGCTCTAGCTCAGGGACCAGACTCCTGTCGTTCTGGGCGAAACGCAGACCCTGTAATAATAGTGGTTTGTGTTTACTAAGGCATATTCTGTAACATGTACTATTCTGAATGCTTTACAAGTATCAAATAATTTAATCCTGACAACAGTCTTACTTGGTGGGTAATTATTGGCCCCCATTTTGCATATTTAGGAAATTGAGGCACAGAGAGGTTAAGGGACTTGCCTATAGCCACACAGCCAGTGAATGACAGAACTGGGACACAGGCCAAGCTGGCTGGTTCCAGAGCCACACTCTCGGCGGGTACACACAAACACTTCGGCCCGTCACGTGATGCATGTCTGTTTGCTTTTGTCTGTCTCCACTGAGAACCAGAACTGAGTCTCGTTGCTGCTTACCTTCAACACAGCAGCGAGCACACAGTAGGTGCTCAATCAAGCCCGTCTTAACAGGAGCTAGTTTGTAACCTCCTACTTTGGGTAAGGGAGCCCAGGGGAGAAAACATGTTTCATATTTTGGCATTTTGCTACCATCTGTCCTACAAGATCACGTTCATGGGTCACAACACTGCTGGGCATGGATTATTAGACCCGCCTGTCAGATGAGGAAACTGAGGCCCAGGGAGGCTAAGAAATCACCCAGCGAAGAGTTAGCGGAGATGGAACCTAAGCCCAGGTCTCCTGCCTCCAAGTCCAGTGCTCACTTTACGCATCAGAAATGGGGCCAGGGAAGATGTGGCTGAACCCAAACCCAGTCCAAGGGGCATGGGGGCCCTGCCAAGTCAGGGGTCATTAATCACGCCCTCTCCCAGCAGGGGGGAGCTTTGGGGGACAGAGGCTTGCTTCCCTTCCTCTCAGCCCTCAGGGTCTAACACCTCTTCAGGGCAGGAAACTCTTCCTTGTCACAAAGCACTAGCCCTCCCTCCCCCATCGTCCCCCCTCACTCCAGGCCGCTCCCCTCCCTATCCCCCTTGAGGGTCTTGGTAAAAGCATCCGCTTGTCAGTGTAAATCTACAGGGTTCCGACCAGCAGCTGGAGATGGATGGGCAGGAAGCAGTAACAATGGATGAAAGACCCTCTGTGCCCAGGTGGGTGGGGGAGGGATAGGCAGGAAACAGAAGCCTCTCTCCTATGGGGGCCTGGGGCTGCTGGCTGCCGGGAGGCCTGGGATGCAAGAACCTGTGGGGTTTATTTGGATTCCCCAAGGATCCAAGCTGGGAGCCCTTCGCAAACATCAGACCAGCTCATCTCCGTGGGGTGCCAGGTCCAGGATGTGTGACAAGAATGTCGCTTTCATGCAGCTCTGTTTGTCCCTAGGGCCTAGCGCAGGGCTGGCTGCCCAGTAGGGGCTTGTCTGTCGAATAAAGAAATTAATCTGGCACTACTAATAACTAAAGAATGGCAGTTTTTTTTAAAAGGAATTTCTACATCCAATGCGGGGCTCAAACTTAGAACCTGGAGATCAAGTCGTACATTCTTCCGATAGAGCCAAACAAGCGCCCCTGATTTTCTTTTTTAAAAATACAAAAAACAGGGGTGCCTGGGTGGCTCTGCCTTCGGCTCAGGTCATGATCCCAGGGTCCTGGGATCGAGTCCCGCATCCGGCTCCCTGCTCGGCGGGAAGCCTGCTTCTCCCTCTCCCACTCCCCCTGCTTGTGTTCCCTTTCTCGCTGTGTCTCTCTCTGTCAAATAAATAAAGTCTTTTAAAAAAAACCAAAAAACATCCACAATGATCCCTTTCCCCTTCACAATTTTTGCACGTACTGTTTTTTCTACCTGCCATGCTCTTCCCTCCACTTTTTGCAAGGTCAGCACCTTCTCATCCTCTAGTTGGCAGCCCCCAAAGCTCTTCCATGAAGCTTTGGGGACCCGCTTTGACCTCCACCCCTTGCTAAAGTAACCCCCATTCCCTTTCCCCTCTAACCCAGCACCCTGTGGACTTCGTTGGTGGCACACTTATCAGAATAAAACAACTTCTCACCTACTATGCATCCTTATTTTTGTATTCCCTGTCTCTCCCACCAGAATGTGAGCTCTAAAAGAACTTCTTGTTTGTTGCTGTATCCCCAAGGGGCAGGTGCTTCGAAGATGCTCCATAAATAGTTGTTAAGTAGATCAAGAGCTGAACAACTGAGTCCTGTAATGATGTCATTCACACCCTATGCTCTGCATTCTGCTTCCTCAAAGAGAACAGAAGGATTCTTGCTCCTGCACTGAGGATTGTAAAGCCCCAGCCCATACTGAGGGACTAGCTCCCAGGTCAATAACTGTGGTGATCACAGATCACGATAGGACTTTGCTTCCCCCACAATCATTTGTGAGGTCCATCAAAATCTAGGTGTGCACGGTAGGGGGGAGGCCGTACATGGGAATGTCCGCTGTTTGTCCAGCACACTGCAGTGGACACTGGAGTGGACAGGGCTGGGGCCACCAAACCTACCCATTTCAAAGATGGGAAAACCGAGGCCCAGAAATGCCAAGGTCACACACACACATCAGTCCAGAGTTTTACCAGCAGAGAGATCAATAGACCTGCAGATTCAGTGAGCCCGAAGACAGTCATTCAGATATTTATTGAGCACCTATTATGCGTCTGGCACTGTGCTGGAAGCTGGGGCGTAGCAACAACTAAAGGCTCAGAGACTCAAAGCAATTACGTAAAAGGCCCAGCCTACCTGACACAGAGCCGCTTCAGTGACCTTGACAGCAAGTCCCTGCTTGGCCAGGCGCGAGAGCGGGGCATGAGTCGGGGAGAGGAGCTCCAAAGTCCCAGGAGGCAGAGGGAGGGAGAGCTGATCTGGGGCTGGACACAGAGACTCTGAAATACAGGACAGTACTGACCCTAAGAAGCCAGCTTAGCTGGGGCTAGTGATCCTGCTCGTGTACTTGCCGTTGGGTTGGATTGGTGCCCGGACATTCAGCGCCTTCGAGTGGAGTGGTCTGTGCCATCTCAACAGTGTGGGCCCCAGTCAACAGAGAAGGCCGAAGACCACTCATTCACCCAGGAAACTCCCACTGAGCACCTGCTGCATGCCACAGCCCGTGCTGAACACTGGAGTCACAGTCCCATCTCTCAGAGTCCTTGGTACCGGGGGGGGACACAGACATGCAGACAGACCATCAGAGACCCGAGATCAGGCCACCCCAAGGCAGCACGGACCAGCAAGGAAAGCCTCTGGCAGTGCCTTCCAGCTCCCTCTTCTGGGACCATGGAGAGCATCCTCAGGCCAGCAGACCCGTATCCGGTCTCAGCTCCTCTTCGAGGTCAACATGTGACCATAAGTGACTTAACATCCCCGAACCTCAGTTTCCCCATCTGTAAAATGGGCAGAGTAACAGGACCTGCTTGTGTAGCACTGCAAGAATTTGATGAAATAAGCCGCAAAATCTCTGGGCATACAGGTGCCCTCAGGAACAGCGAGCGCTCAGGGGGCCTGCGGCCTGCTATGGCCTACAGGTACCATCATCCGGTCCCACAGGCTCCCGTCTTGGATGGAGTCAGTCAGTCATGCAACAAACACGGATGGGACACTGGTTCTGTGCTCGGCCCAGTGCCTGGCAGGGGACAGCAAAAAGGAGTGAGACCCAGCCCGGACCCAGGAGTCACTCACCATCCAGGGACGAGCAGATACAGCAACATACTTGCAACCAAGTATGGGCGATGTTATTCTAGATCTCGCCCTGGTAGACGGTTCTCTGAGGAGGCCTCGTTTACACCTCACGATGGTCCTTTACAAGGTACACATCGTTATCCTGATTTCACAGATGAGCAAACTGAGGCTCCGAGAGCCAAATCCACCTGCCCAGGGTCATATAAACTCTGTGTGTCTGTCGCCAGAACGTACGCTCTGTCCTCACAAAAGCAAATCTTGGGCAAAGGTTGGCTCATTCGGTCAGTGAACCCTTTTGCACACGTGCCACATGCCAAGTCTGGACCGTGGAGCTGAACAGGACGGGGCCCCTGCCCCCACCGCTAGCCAGGGGAGAGGTAGATTTGGGGCACGCCGGGGCTCTGTAACACCGATGAGCGACCTTTTGGCACTGGTCTAGCCTCCCCCCCCCTTAAAGTGCCCGGAGGGCTGCTGGGAAAGGCCCAGGGAGGGAGGCTGTGACAGCTTTAGGCCCCCAGGGCCACCATGTCTGCTCAGCCTGGCTCTGACTCACCACCCACACCTGGCGCTGGCCTCAGGCAGCCACGCTGCTGGAAATAGACCCGGGGCAGAGAGCAGGAGCAGGGGAGGGGAAGGGGGGGCGGGCAGGGAGGTGGCACCTGCATGCGTGGCTGCCATTCCCACCCTCCCCACCAGGAAGCAGAGAAGTGTCATCCACCAGAGCCCACCGGAAATAAGCTGGGCTCAGGAACGCTCCTGGGGGTTGAAGACCCCCGCCTACCTGGGAGGCTGCCCCGAAGCAGCGAGGGTTATAATGAAAATAGTGGCGATGCCTCACTTCCCACAACTCTCCATGGTTCTCGAGCACTTCTGTGCCAGGCTGGCCTCAGTAAGTGCTTTGCATGTAGTGGTGATCTCACTGAACTCCCACAGCTAGCCAGGAGGTTGTACTGTGATTAAGCCTGTTCTACTGATGAGGAACTTGAGGTTCAGAGAACCACGGTAAGTTGCCTAAGACAACACAGCCCCTGCATTAGGCATCGTGAAATCACCTCAAGCTCCCCCCTCCCCGCTCCAGCTCAAATGGCTCATTCTAGATCACATGTGCCAACTCTGTTCCCATCCTCCCTGCCTGCATCACCTTCCCTCTTGACCAAGGTAAAGCCTCCCTTCTTACCGCTCTGGGAAGCAGAAATCACACGATAATCCTTCTCTTTTCCTCTCTACCTATCTTAACCCTGCTCAGCTTTCAGCCCACGTCTGATCATGCTGCCTCCCTGTCTAAAACCTGCAGTGGCTCCCTATTGCCCTCAAGATAAAATATATTCAAGAACCTTCGTACACTGAGCCCTTCCCACTTCTCCAGCCTCATTGCTCACTAATCCCTGCTTGGGCAAGTCAGGACACTTCCCAAGGCTCGCTCTCCTGGTGGGCACGCTAACAGGGCTGCACAGTGATGAGGAAGAAGGGGCTGATGCGTGTGAAGTACCTAGCGGGGCCCTTGGTGCATAGTTGGTGTTTGGTAGACCTTCCTTCTCCACTACCAGCTCTGAGCCAAAGGCTGGGGTGGAGTTGGTGGCCTGTGAAAGGGTCTCTGCTTTCAGCCAGGCTGGGGTCAAGGGCTTTATGGTGGTCTAGCCCAAGGACTGTCAGTGCTACTGGAATTCATCACGTTAAGAAATTTTGAAAGACTGCAGGGCAGCGGTAGTTGGAACTAGGGGAGGGGAAAAAGGCAAAGGAACCTGTTGGTAAATGTAAAGGGGTACAGCCATTGTGCTGGCAATTCTTCAAAAAATTAAAAATTCAGGGGCGCCTGGGTGGCTCAGTTGGTTAAGCGACTGCCTTCGGCTCAGGTCATGATCCTGGAGTCCCGGGATCGAGTCCCACATCAGACTCCCTGCTCAGCGGGGCGTCTGCTTCTCCCTCTGATCCTCCCCCCTCTCATGCTCTTTGTCTCCCATTCTCTCTCAGATAAAAAAAAAAAAAAAAATTAAAAATTCAATTACCATATGACTTAGCAATTCCACTTCTGGGTGTATGCCTGAAAGAATTGAAAGCAGCGTCCCAAACAGATATTTTTACACCAGTATTTATAGGAGCATGACTCACAATACCTAAAACATGGAAGCAACCCAAATGTCCATCAATGGATGAATGGATAAACAAAATGTGATATATGTGTACAATGAAATATTATTCAACCTTAAAAAGGAGAGAAATTCTGACTTGCTACAACATGGATGAACCTTGAGGCTATAACACTGAGTGAAACAAGTCAGTCACAAAAAGGCAAATACCGTGTGATCCCACTTATTTATTTATTTTTTTAAGATTTTATTTTTAAGTCATCTCTCTACCCAACGTGGAGCTCGAACTCACATCCTCGAGGTCAAGCATTGCATGCTCCTCTGACCGAACCAGGCAGGTGTCCCAGTGTGATCTCAAGGGGTACTTAGGGTAGTCCGATTCAGAGAGCTAAAAAGTCGAATGGAGGGGCGTTGGGTGTAGAGATGACTTAAAAATAAAATCTTTAAAAAAAAAAAAAAGGAAGGGGCGCCTGGGTGGCTCAGTCGTTAAGTGACTGCCTTCAGTTCCTGTCGTGATCCCAGGGTCCTGGGATCGAGCCCCGCATCGGGCTCTCTGC